AACAAGTGCACCTACAGCACCGAACGCCTCTGTGTTGCACATGAAGCCGCTCTAGTCCAAAAAGTCTGCACATGAGCTCAGACATGGAAATCTTGAAAACAGCATTGCCAGAAACCGGTCAAACCCTTTGGCTCAACAGATCATCGAGTAGTTCGGAACAATGGCGTGCCCACACTTCAAGAAAGTGCCAGTTAAGAACCTTCAACCCTCAACCCTGCAAATCTTGACTCCAAAAATGGATCCCACATGACCCCGCCCTTCCGGTTCACGTGTCGTAGTTTCAGGTTTTGGGCACTTCTGACTGCTGCTTAAGTACGGGAGCAGGGTGCCCACGATGGCATGACCAGCCTCATGGTATGCCTCGGTTTATCGCACTGGAGGGCTCTGAGGGTTTGGGATGCTAGGGCTCCAGGATTCAGGGCTTGGGGATTTCAGGGCTTCGAGTTCTCATGGTTTGGGGCTTCAGGCTTAGAATAGGCTGCTGGGATTGCAAGGGTTTCGGGCTGGAGCGTTTTCGGCGTCAGCGGCTTCAGTCTCGCTGGCCCGGGAAGTTGAGCAATGAATTGCAGTGTTTCGATTTCTTGTCCGTTCCTTCATTCCCTACTAAGGGCTTGAAAGTTGGCCTCTTTCAAGACAATTGGATCTTCTTTTAGGTTGGCTTTCAGTTGGGTTTGAATTTTCGCTGGCTCTCCTGGAAGGGTGATTCCTAAGCCAGCCAGCAAGGCTAACAAAATCTCACGCAAGCTAACATGTCGCTGTAACACTTCACACGGGCAATTCTGAGCACATAGTAGTTTCCCGACCAAGTAGGGGACCCCAATATAGACTGTAAACACCATCACCATTAATGGAGACCCCAAAATGGTGCCCCTAATCTTGGGAAATCCCCACATAGACATATGCGTAGCACTCCAGGGAATTGGGATCAGTCTATCCAAGCAGTCAGGAGAAGTGCCTTTGAGAGAGATATGGGTTGTTTTCCCAAAATTAAGGGTACCTTTTTGGGGGCCCCTATAATAAGGACTATAGTATATTTGGGTTTATATTGGGGTCCCCTAATTTTGGGAAACTACCATATGTCAGAAGGAACACTTGCAAGGGGCTTTTTTGGGAGAGGCCGCCATAGTCAGGAGGAAACCACACGAGCCTCGAAGGGCCTCATCAGTAATTATCATGAAAAATGTACAGCATGGGATATAGATTGTGCCCTCACGACATTCATACACAAAAGCAGCAACACCATTCTATCATCCAGCCACCCTGCTTGTAGCATGCAAAGGTGACCTCTTGTTACCTACATCCTGCACCAAGCTAAAAGCTCAAGCCCCGGTCCAGTGCTTGCAGCAAATCCCTGTGAAGCTCAGGGACGATCAGCTTCTTGGCAGCATTGTCCTGCAGCGCCCGTCCCTCAAGACCGGCAATGACCTCATCTGTGCGGCTCAGCAATTTGAGCTACGAAAAGGCTGACAAACATAGATCCGCGATCCGAATAGGATTTCAGGATTCATTAATACAAAGCTATGGTCGAGTAAGAGGTTTGGAAATTGTTGGCCTGCCATGCCTAGAATGATCATCTACCAGATGCTTCATGCGAAGCCAGAAGGAACTCTTTGCCGAAGGGTCTGAAAGTTCATGGTTCAATGAGTGGCGGACGCGATCAGTGGCATCGTTGATCTCATCCATGGTGATGGCCTGCCACTTTGTGCTTGCTGCAAGGCGCAAAGGAAGCAGTGGAAACATGTGTTTGGACTTCAATAATCGCTTCTCCCTACTATTTAAACCCCCTAATATTAAATACGGGTTCGCCCAAAATCTGCCCCCAAGCTACTTCTAACAGGGCCAAGACTAAAGTTAATTGCGACTCGGATCCTCTGAAGTATGCGGGGGCTTTAGTCTAAGGATTAGGGATCTCCTTGATTTCCAGGATTTGGATTGTTTTGGAATGGTTTTCAAAAAGGAATTTATGTAGAAGAATTCCAGAAACAGATTCCAAGGCCCTAGTTTGGAATAGTCCCTACTAAGGCCCTAATTTGGATTAGTCCCTGATAAGGCCCTAATTCCAAATAGTCCCTATTAAGGCCCTAATTTCATGTTCCCAACGCTACTTGCATTTGGGATGAGACAGGCTTTGTCACCCCTCCCAAATTGCACTGCGCATTGAGTTTTGTTGCATGATGTGGCGAGCTAGACTGGATACGCCCCTTGCATCCTGAGGTCACTTCAAGCAGGCTCTACGGACATCAGAATCTGTTTTTGCTTACATGAAGCCCTTTCAACAGAGCTTTGGCCAAATGATGGCTCTTGCCTCTTGAGCTGTGTTGATTCCCAAACCTTTGACATTCTGGATTCGCCTTGGGGTTGCCTTCTAGTGGCAAGGTGCCATACCCATTTGGTAGTTTCCCTAAATAGGGGACCCCAATATAGACCCCAACACATTATAGTCCTTATTATAGGGACCCCCAAAAAGGTACCCTTAATTTTGGGAACCTCCCATTTCACTTCTGCTGGCCTTCTTGTTGCGCCTAGCCGCCCTGGGCGCAGACTGAGGCTGAAGGTTGGCAAGGCTTTTGCACTGACTAGGGGGTGGTTGGGAGGCGTTGGTGATGACCAACACCAAAACACCAAATGCCTGTGGATTCTGGAGTGGCGACCCATTTTGGCGGCAGATTGAAAAATCGAATTCAGCATTCAGGTATCAAGTGTGAGGGAATCGACTAGCTTGAGCTGGAGCAAGTTCCGCTAAAATCAATGTTATGTCCAGAGCGGGCCCCCATCGCGCTTGCCACACAGTCACAGAACGGACAACACAGGATCTCAAGGCCCTGCTACGGATTGCGCATAGACTGTTGGTCCATCACGCTCTCACGCTGCAAGGGCTTGTATTCCGGGAGTCTCGATAATGAGTGGGGTATAGTGGGGTGGGTCTTACATGATTTGCGAAGGGACTCAAAGGTTGCTTCTAGTCACTAGTCACTCCGTCCCTTGTTTTCGCTCCAGTAGACATTGGGTGGCACCTGCAGGCCAAACAATCCCAGGTGTGGAAAGGTAAGCTATGATCCTTCTCTGCGCTTTACCGCTCCTTTCTCCCTGCCTGCGCTGCCCTATCAGTCAAGAGGCAAGCAGCTGCATTAAACCCAGAGCACATGCAGTGTAAGCTCCTACATGATGAGCGAGAGCCACGCCTTACACCCTGGCACTCTAAGACCATGCTTGGCCGATCCGCAAGTCAACCCCAATGCCTGGAATTCTAGGCCAAGACCTGAAAACCCCCCGAACCTCAACCCTAGACCCTAAAGACTCACTCAAATACAAAAGAAACCCTAACAACTCGAATCTTACCTCTAGCAACACGACCGGGCCAGAACTTGAATTATATACACCAAGAGACAGGATGGCAGACTCGTTCATAAGGTTCTCCAGGTCAGCGCCAGAGAATCCTGCTTCAGGGTCTACAAAGTTGAGGGCTCAGAGATACATGCAGAGCTTAGACTTGAGGATTCTGGCTCTTGGGCTGCGGTTTTTGAATTGCGGTCGGCAGTGCCAGTGCCAATTGCACCACCTTGTTCCCGCGTACACGTCGATGTTCACAAGTAATACTGAATACATGTGTAGATGACCTTGACACATATACACGCATACATGTGTCTGTGTGTACCATACATATGGATACATGTACATATGTTTGTTAAATATATGAATATACTTGGAGGATCACCCGGCCCAGAAGCAACCTGTAATTGCGTAATTTATCTACCGTGCAGATGACCTGCTGAAGCTCCACAGCCACAAATGGGTTCCCCTAAATAGGGGCCCTAAATATCATAATCCTTATTACAAGGACCCCCAAAAAAGTACCCCTAATTTTGGGAACCCCCCAGATGCCAGCCCCGAAGCCTGCGGTGCGCTTAGCAATGTCAATGAGTGTGATCTCGCCATCGAGCTTCCTTCGCCCAAGGAAAGCTTATTAGTGAGAATGTTGTTCATGCGGGGAGTTACTGGTTAGGAAGTATGTACAGGCTATGTGACACTTATACACTTACAGGGGAGACTACCTACCTGAAAATTCCAAAGACATTATTTGGCTCTGGGTTGCCCTGTGGGTCGGCGGACCTGAAGCTGAAAACTTTGCGACTGAAACTGCGGCTGCTAGTTCTTCAGTACCCTGCAGCCTGTGATGAGCAAAGGTCTTTATCATATATTCTATAGTACTGAACTGGAAGGATGGGAACATTGAGAGGGTCGTTGTTATGGGAGAGGGCTTTACTAGACTCATCATCTCGACACACTATACGTCAGCGGCCCAACGAATGCTCTTTTGAGACCTTCCTGCTTTTAAAGATCTCTAATCAGGTATACATGTAGGCAGCTTCGACATGATACCACGGACGGACACACACACACACACTCTCTGCCAGCGAGCGTCTTGTTCTTGACATGCACCTGCGCGGCCGTGCTACGCAGCAAACAGGGATGAGTGAAGGCAACAGTTCAAGGATAGATTGGTTTGAGAGCTTGGCACGTGACTTGCCAGGTAGGGATGACTATACAAAAAATACAAACCTTTAGGCCACTCACTTGACCCATTCCCTTGTGGATGAAGAGCATGCTTGACACGAGAAGGCTGATAATCTAGTCTGTGGAGCAGCCCATGCAGCTTTCTGGCGCTAAGCTGTATGCTGCAATGACGACAGAAACAAACTGAAGTGCCGCATCTTCATCTTGTATGCGCAATCTGCTCTGCAAGTGGTAGCCAAAATTGTCTTCGCCATTGATGAGGAGTAGCCTACTTGAGAAGCGGCTTGAGTTCTTGGGACTTGTCCTGACATAGGTCTGTCCTCAAGGGCACAAATTTTCCTTATGCCATGTTAGCGGCCCTACCACCTTTCAGTTGGCAGTCCTCAATCAGTTTAAAACCTTCCCCTGCCCTAAACCCACTGTACATAGGAGGCCCTTTTGGGGGTTCCATGGTTGTTTGGGGGCGAAAACCATGTAGCGGGAACCTCCAAGATCTGCGCGCGGCCCTGGACGTCAGGAAGACCGACCTGACATGGGCGTGCAATCTTTCGCGTGCAGCTTGCTGGTCGAGAGTGAGGAGGCACATTGCCCATAGTTGCCCCAGGCAAACACGGGCATACCTACTCTAATAGATTCGTTTAGTTCCCGAAACTTATAACTCGTATTGACAGATGCTTGCAAACATATCCCTGCGATAAGGTGACTTGTCAAATGTCATGTGCCCACTTCAGACAGCGGCTCCTACCCGAGAAAGGGCCCACCCCCAACCCTAAAGCCTAAACCTCCCTGGCTGGGCTTCCGACCTGTACGCGGCGGTCAAAGCGGCCAGGACGCAGCAGGGCGTTGTCCAGAATGTCAGACCCTTGGAACCCACCAGGTTTAGGGTCCAAGCTTCGGAGGCCCCCGTGCAAAAACCCAAAAAAAAGTGCGCCCTCTGATACTGCAGGAGTAAGAGAGCAGATGCAAAAAGAGAGGAAGAGGTAGACAGTGCCAGGAAGAATCACATCATCAAATGAAGATAAAAGAAATGACGACGCTGATGACAATAATGATGGTAATGATGATGCTGAGAAGACTGGTGATACTGTTAATGATATCAATAATGATACTGATGGTAAAGATGGTTGATGGTAATGACGATAATGGTGGCAGTGATTGTACTGATGGCAGTGTGGTGAAGATGATATAGCGGTAGTGGTGATAACGGTGATAACCATGATAGCGGTGCTAGTAATCATAATGCTGATGATGATGGTGATGTCGATGATGATGACTATGAAAGTTAAGGGACATGATGCTAACAGTGACAGTTTATGGAAATGATGCTAGTGATGACGGCCTTGGTGATGGTGACGATAACGGTGATTTTGACGATGATGACGATGAGCCCTGATCCACTGATTGCAGGTCTCTGGACATGCTTGCACTTGCCCCGACAACATGCCGGCCCAAAGCACGGGAGGACGGAAAAGCGAGAGTTTGTGCTGGTGAGCAGGGCTCCAGGGAGCAAGGACAGGGTTCTGGGCTTTGCGTCGGGTACAGCTGGCCTACCTAATTCGCAGATGATGATGATTATAGTTATGATGATAGGGATGGTGATGGTGATGGTGATGACGATGATCATCATGATGATGATGATGATGATGATGGAGATGATGATTGTGGTGATGAACACGGCACTCATGACCGGACTCGTCATGACAACACACGATTGTAAGCACTGCAAGGGGCTCACAGAAAAAAAAGTGCCAACTCTCTCTCCAGGGCTATCCGACCTACAGAACGCTTAGTTCATGGAGGTTGGGCCTTAGGCTTTGAGAGGCGTTCGCCCCGGCCTGGGTGTCCAAAATGAATGGCCCAAGAGTCCCTGGAGCAGCCCGGACTGTTTCAACTAGCAAGCTGTTGCACCCAGCATAAATTCGGCTTTGCTTTGCTTTGAGAGCCTTTCATTGTATACTGGTGCATTCCGCAATCACGAGCTCGCAAGGCTTGGACTTGTAAAGCCTTGATTACCTCTAGTTGCTCAGAACTCTGCACTTGGCCCTTCACTATTGATAGAGGCTGTAGAAAGAGCTGTCCTGCCCAGACTTTGGCAGCCATAGAAGTGTTGAGGTGAATCTCAACTTCAAGATTGGAAAAACCCCAATCGCTGAAACAAATCGCTGTTGTGTGACAAACGTGTGTATCAACAGAAAAGGCAGATCCCTGACCCCCTCCATCATCAGCAAGTGGTCTAGTGCACACCAGTAACTATGAGATTTTGGTTATAACCTGGTCATGACGGGAGTGCCTCCCTACCAGTCGATGATGAGTGGCTGTTGGTGGCAGCCACGACGATGACTCCGCTGTTGCCTCAGAGACCAGGCTTTCAGAAATCTGGAGAGGGCGAAGCCTGGTTCTCAAAGCTCTGCTTAGTAATTTTGAAGCAACCAAGAAGTTGACCACAGTCGCAGACTGTGCAGAGATGCAAGTCCACGGCCGTGGTTTGAGCTTGTGGATGCAGGTCTTTTGAGATGTTCGATTTTGAGCTGGTGACAGGTGGCTGCTGTCCACAGCAAACAGCCTGAGTCCTAAAATTAATGTTCACATGAGCAGCTACCTAAATTATTAGTAAACAGCTAAGTAAAAAATCGTCTTGGGGGGGGGGGCCTATCGCTTTACAGGGTTTTTGCATCCACCTAAAGACTTCAGTTGTAACATGACCGG